TGCAGCACTTGGACAAGAAAGTTGGTCGCGACTACTGGCAACCGCTATTTATTTCCCTTGACCCACGCCGTGATACGCCAGAAAAGGTGCGAGAGTACTTAGCTGATTTTAGTCCACGTATTCTCGGCCTTGTGGGAACGCAAGAGGAGGTGGAGGCGGCTGCCCGCGAGTATCGTGTGTACTTTGCCATCCCCGATGAAGAGGGCATGAGCGAGGACGACTACCTCGTTGATCACTCCATCATCATGTACCTCATGGACCCGGAGGGCCGTTTCTGCGACTACACCACGAAGGAGTTTCAGTGGTTTGAGAGCTACAGTAAATTGTTGCGCCGCATGATGGACTATGAACGGGAGAAGGTGCGGAAGCAGCGGGAGCGGGGCGGGGAGCTGCAGCCGGGTGAGAGGGCGGCAAACATGAAGGTGGCAAACATCGCGACGATGTTGGATGAGAGTGCGGCGGCGGTGCCCAGCCGTGAGGAGCTGGAGAATGCCAGACCACAGCAGGCGATGACAATTCGGCGTTGACGATGAACGGTTCGGAACGTGAAAGGGGTGTGTGAGGGGAAAGGAAAGGGAAGAAGGAAAAAAAAAAGAAATGGGGGAAGGGGTCAAAGAGGAAGAGAGGAGGGGTGGGGGAAGAAGACACATGACGTGGGAGGCGCCGTCATCGTCATTGTCGTCGTTTTCCGATGTTTCTTCGCTGCTGTTTACCACGTGGTGTACTTCTTTGTTTTTATGCGTCTCTCTCTCTCTCTCTCTTTGTGTGTGTGTGTTTGGTGGGTCGCCACTTTCTTTCCCTGTTCTTTGCGTCTGTCCACTCCAATGAACTGCCCTTTCCTTTCTTCTTTTCTTCCTTTTGACTCTCAACACCGGGGTGTTTCTGCCTGCAGGGCTGCCCGGCCCTGGCACATACACCCGCTCCCCAGTGAAGGGTCATTTTCTCTACGCACACGCTGATAAACAGGGTGTGGCACAAGACTTGAAGAGAAAAAAAAAAAAAAAAAAGAAAAGGGAATTGAGAGGGAAAAGGTACTACTACTACTACTACTACTACTAATACGAATAGTAATAATAGAAAGACAAGACAAAAAAAAAGAGGAATAATAATTGAAAACACCAAACAGCGAAAGGGAAAGTAATTTACATCCAATGGTTGCCATTTATAAGCCGGTATCCGATTGCGTCTGGCATCAAATGCCAATGGACGTACGTGAGCGCATACGTGCCTTTCGTGAAAGAGCCGTCTCACTGGAGCGTTACATACGAGGAATGCATGGTCCGCGGATTTTATAAATGCGCCA